CGATATTTCATCGGCACTTCCAGCAGAATAAGATACCGAATCGTGATAATCCTGGAGACGTTACAACTCCGCCACACAGCCACAAGTGCCAGTGAGATACAGGGCAATAGTAAAATTCAATCTAAGCCAGACAACTTCTAAATTACATTTAAAGTGGGAGTATCGATAAAGCAAGCATGTCTTTCATGTTCTTATTCACAAATTACTGATAACCTTGAAAACCACGAGTCGTCGTCAAATACATTTTCAGACACCTGTTTTGTTCATCCAAAATCCCACAATAAATGTAATTTGGTAGAGAGCTTGCTTGCCTTGAATGTCAAGTCTGCTCTGTAACCCATTAGCGCCTGTGGTCGCGTAGTAGACTGGTAACGTCGCTATTATACTATAGTCACGACCCAGTATTGAGTGTCGCTAGGGTTGCAGTAAACCCCAGCGCAAAGGAGATAGCCTTTTGGGATGCAAGGTTAACTAAAATTCAATGGTATCGTGAGGCCTAATAATCCAATTGTGGAAAAATACAATTGTCAGCCATTAAATCACCTTAAGCGACCTAGGCTGACCACTTTATTTTTCGATCATTACCGATAGTCACATCAAAAACACTCGTCAGGTTCAGGCAGAGAAAGCCTACCTTACCTGAAAAAAAGTCGTATCAAAATGGGCGTGGCAATGCGTAGCAAATAAGCTGAAAATTCTGTGATGACTTCCAAACGGACTGATATCCTTTGACGGGAAAAACCAGTATTATTCTTCAAGCGACGTTCCTTAACGAAAAAAGATCAAAATTGTCGTCAAAATTTATCTTCTAGGTTGCTCCGGAAGTGTAGAATACTTTTTTTGTTGAATTCAAACCCAAGTCTAAATGCTTTTAGAAAAGACTATTAGCTGCACCATAATATACCTTTCAAAGTGAAAACGTCTAAATCCATATCGCGTAAAAAATACTTTGAACGAGTTGTTTACAGAAAAATTTATTAGATCAAGGAAGAAATTGGAAGATTTAGGCAATTAAACAGATAAAAAATATTCATAAAATCCTTTATAAGTTCCTTGTCTAAAACTCCAGAAAACCAGTTTATGCAATCCTATGTAAGTGGAGCCTTGGGAGATGCAGTAGTCAGACCATAGCTAAATGTTTGGTAGTGATGCAATGACCTTTACAAATACCCTTGTCGACTAAGCCCAAATGCCAGAAGAGAATTTTGAAGTATTCGTGCAGTAAAAAAATCAGCTCATGCATAAAATTCTCCATATTTTGACTGCAAATGTCAAGTTTTCAAAGGAGTTTTTGCTCACCAAAAAGTAAGAAATTTTTTTTTAATAAGCGAAAGAGGATAACAACAAATATTATACCTATCATTTCAAAGTAAACCTCGTGGGAAAACCAGGTAAAGACTATGTGCCTTTGCCAACAAAGCTACTCTATATCGATGGGGCGAAACAGTCTTAGTTACGAAGGCTATACTAAGACGTATAAAACAAAGACATCCACACGCGTGCACACGCACACACACATGTATATATGTATATATATATATGTTTATAGAGAGGGAGAATAAATAAAGATGAAATAGATTTTGACTAACCGGGAGGGGGAGGATGAATAAAAGAAAAATTGAGAGCCCCGATTGTGTCCGAATCGAGAGAGCCAGGCGGATCATCGCTATAAGCAGCACGCAGACCACGTTTCCAGTGCTGGCGAGAGAAGATGTGCCGTTTCATCAAAGAGGCCTAGACACAATACAAAAAAGTATTAGAGCAAGATAAATTACATTAATATGAAGGAGATTAATCCAAGGAAATATAGCTACTGTACGTATATCAAACCTTACCAGATTTTATCGGGCAAACGTTTGTATTACGGTGGGTTGTTAAAGTTTGTAGGCTAATCACAATATAGGTAAATCGAAAACACAACAACGATTGCACAATCCAACAAACTTCGCCTATATATGTCCAGCAGGAAGCTTGCTGGTGCTGGGGCAGCTCCGTTGTTGGCTCTTCCAAGTTTTCATGTACTCCTCTGCTTAAAGAATGATTTTCTCATTTCGTGTCTATTAGCCAAGAAGACACCGCCCAAACATTCCATCACAAGGATTCGTTTGTCAGCTAAATTAAAGAATGTATCCACTTTGATATTATACTATTAAAAATGTCTTTATACAGGTTGAAAAGCTTAAATAAAGTCATGGCTTTCTCTAATTTCGGATGAAACGGCACTTTACTACATTAGGATTAAGCAATAAATGCTTTTGCTAACGCATTCTTACATTTACGCCTCCGGTTACAGCTAGCATTATAATCATAAATTGTTTCCATAATATGACCTATTAGGAAAATCAAAGCATCCAAAAATATTAAGCAAGAGAGCCCCAGCATGTAGGACAATACCGAATATCACTTCTAAACTAAAGGTACAGGGGATCTCACATTCTAGACTTCATCTACAACAAATGTGACTGAAGGAGTTAATAGCTCTTAACATTTAATTTCACACTTGTTCTCAGTTCCGATTTACCTACTTTGATCTTAAAGAGTAAAGAGTTGTCAAGTTAGTATCTTAGTCCCAACATCCCAATCAACCTGCCAAAAAAGTTTTCAGAAAGTCAAGGATACTTAAGAGTTACAATAAGCTTAAACGACGACGCCGTCAATACAATGTGGATGCATTAGTATAGTTAAAGACTAGGAACTAATTGCATTGGTCTTTACATCACCAAGAAAGCACAATAGATAAATACTCGATAAAAATATATTTTAAAAATTCAACGAAAGTGAAAAACGACGCTACTATCTTTAGTTAGATTTGGGTAAATCAGTCAGGTAAAACTTATATGCTGGATCGAAATTTTTAGATGAACGAAAAGATTTTATGGGAGAATTAAATAGAGCTTTGGCCGGCAACCAGTAGAGCCAGCTCTCTATAGCTCTGACAAGATATTTTTTACCCTTGTGCCCTATGCAACAACTAGAAAAGTAACGAATCAATATGCGGGTTGTAAATAAGATATACACAACCCCAAACCACGGGTGTGGACAAAAGTATAAAATTGATAGATGATGGGTAAGTGCATCACCGATAGAGATGTTGAATATTCAAGCAAGACAGCAAAATCAAGTAAATAGATTTATAAATATTAGGCTCATTTCCGTTTCGAATGAAAGTGCATGATAAAGAGAGTCGTAGGTCTTCCCAACCAATTTCGTTGACTCATTACCTTATTAATAATACACTGCTCCGATAATCTCTTCCAGAAGACAGACAAAAACACAGCACACTGTCAATAAGATAGATTGAGGTTGTCTTGAGGTCAGATCGTGCCAGAAAAGCCAGCTATTTTAATGAGCTAGACGAAAAATCGTTTAATCACATACTTTCCCTCTAAATGTAAGTTAGCCCAACCCTTTTAAATAAGGATATAGTTCAAAAAACTACTATTTACCATAGTAAATTTATATCCAAACTCATAAGAATGACTAACTAATAATTAATGTTTAATTTTTTTGCTATAAACGTCTAGTCATATGACATTTTTTACATCAATTATACAGACCTACAGAGTGGATATACTTAGTAGGCCTTACTTTCAATAAATCGACTACTCAAAACTTAGTGAAATTCTATGGGAGCAAGGATATGATGCCTAAGAGAGAATTTATGCCAAAAATAAGAAAAGCTGTAGTAAAAATGGTCCTAACGCCTAAAATAATATTACTAGGAATGAATAGAAGAGTCATCAAATATTGCAGACCGAGTTGTAATGTATCCCCATACTATCCATTCAATGTTAAGTCTTTGTTACATCCCATATGTAGCCATGGCTCAATATCCTTTAGCGCAGAGACCACGCGAGTGTGTGACTAATATTGACTCTTTAATTCGGGTCGTCTAATCAAAGCTTAGCACCACATCGTCCAATCAGGAGTTTACATGGTATATGTACTTTTTCTTCTCTTCCTTCTCTCCGCTGTGGCTCGGGGGTCTTGAATGTTCTATTTCGCGCTATCTTTATATGATTGTCTTTCTATTGTCAGCCGCACCATACTGTATTCTGCCGTTTCAAAATAGGACAAATTGGTAATACTATTTTTCCTTCTCTCTCTTCATTTCGGGGCCTTCATCACTGGAGTTGTAGAGAGCAATCGTTTTATACTTTAGAGACAGTCCACATTGTTCTTTGGAACACAAAAACATCATTAACACTATTCGAGATATTTTAAATCGTATATGCTGAGCACAAGTCTCTGTGCATCAGTTCAGTAAAAAGCTGCTTATGCAGAAATAAAATTAATTTTATTTTATTCTATGGACTAATACTCATTTTGATTCATTGTCTTGAAAAATATTTGAATCTATTTTAGATCGCTTATTTAAAATGTCAATTACATAGAGTGGTGTTATAAATACATTGTATGAAAGGATGACGGAGTATTAAATTCACTTTCTTAATTCATCTCCAACATTAATAATACAAAATAGATTTCAATTTGTATAGCTCTGAGAAAAGACAAATTTAGAGAAAAGCGTTATTCGAATTAACAATGAAATTTCACGCAACCTGAGAAATATGCCATCAAAAGGAATTATAAGGAGTTTCTAAGCATCAATTGGAGTAGCTAAACCGCCTACTTATTGCCAATTAAAAGTCCAAAAAGCTTTCAAAATATTCTGAAAATCCCCTGTGAAAAGCCAGTACACATCTGCATTTGACGAAAAGGCAAAAGACTGCTAATATTTTGTCCGACATAATTGGTGAAATATTCTATCAGGTTTCAGGTTTGACTCTAAATGTAAGAGAAATTAATATCGAAGTATAATGTGAGTCTTTTATGTCGTTGATACTATTGTTATTGCACGATATGGTCAACTAATCATTCCTAAAGTAAAGATGTGAAGACCAAGATGTTGTGGCCTCGGGTATGGTCGCAGTTTCC